AGCTCTATGGAGCAGTATCAGACTCATATTCTGACTAGAATTAAGTAGGACTACGTCAGGCTATAGGCTGATGGGAAAACCGCTAGTGGTGTCCCAGTGGTTTTCTTAAACAAAAACATCATGAATAAATGGTGGAGGGCATATCAATAATAAAGCCAGACTTGATGTATATATTCATAAAGAGAATGGGCGTCATAACCATTAAATATTATTTTCATATGTTTCTGATTTATGGTTAAAAGTGATGATTAATACTTTTTTTTTGCACATACCCTGTCACTGCATACAGTCAGGGTCTCATGGAAACAAATAAATGCTGCTCTAAAACTATAATTTCAGTAATAGTGCTAATGCCAAACATTTATGGTTAATAAATAAAATCACAAGGTCAGCATTTTCCTATTATATAGCTCAAAATGTAGAATAACAGTATGACAATTTTATCTAAATCATGACATTTTTTTTTATTGATAAGAGAAATCCTTAAACCATAATGTTTAGGATATAAAACCTTTAAATGATTTGGTGGAATTGATAATAGATAGTTAAAGATAGATAATAAATATATAATAGTTTTATCAATAATAATAAATCAAGTCAGTAAGTTATTTCTAAAATGCCTGTGCTGTTGTAATTAAACAGTGGCTTATCGTGACTTATTATTTTGATCAATCATAAACTCTCAAAACAAACATGATTTTCTGTTTTCTTTCTGGGTTTCTTTAGTGAGAATATAAGTATATGAGAATACAAGTATATCTATTTTGAAATATTATTAAATAGATACAGAAACGTATTATGAATCATATTCTAAATGAAGTTGCCAGTGATTTATTTAACTGTTTTTTGGTGACAAACATTGTCACTTATTTGCTTTTTGAATTTGATACAGTAACAAGGGAATTATAAAATCTTTCTATATCTGATCATTTCAAATGTTATTACAGAATAACATGTATTTATCACTTGTTCTAAACATGGATTATTTTGGTTTATTCATGATATACCGTATTTTCTGGACTAGAAGCAGCTACTTTTTCCCATGCTTTAAACCACGTGGGTTATAAGAGGGTGCAGCTTTTCTGTGGAATAAGGGGCTAATTTTCATTTAGCAGAACATGCTAGCAACAGGCAGAACAGAAACAAATGTCCTAAATT